CCGACCAGACGCGTGTACGCAACATCCCTCGCATACAGGGAGAGGATGCCGGGATGGCACACATCGTTAGCATGCTGATCTCAGGCACATCTACCCTCGCGGCTTTTACTCCCGAAAATCTCACTAATCTCCTAGCAGACTGCGACACGCGCACGCAAATTCAGCCTTGACTTATGTTAATATTATACTTTGAAAAGAATTCTAGAAAGTGTCGCTGCTGGTTAAAATATTTCGATCTTAATATGAAAATGCTTCCATACATTTCGAATCGTTTTATTTTGGTAGCACTATAAAAATTGATAGCAAGTGATAATTGTAGAAATTATTATAAAAAGAAAAAAAAAAAACTATTATACAGAGTGCAAAAAGAAGAATGTGGAGAGTCTCTTTTTTAAAATAAACGCCATTTATACAGTATTATAAAATTTACATTGAGAATTGAAAAAAATTAAATAATATGAATTAAAAATATAATTTCTTTCTAAAATCTCGATTATGGCATTTATGACTTTTTTACGCGTGCATGCGTCAGATTTGCTTTCATTTTCTTACTTCATTATTCTGAAGAAATGGATGCGTATGGATACACATGCACATACCATACATAAATTTGATTAAAATTACAATTAGCAAATGATGCCATGTCCAGGGCATGCAAAAACTCGCTTCGAACAATGAGATTATAACAGAAAAAAAAAAACCATATCGAGCCACACCGGCATGTGTGGGGTTGCCGGGGAATGTAACCAACCAAACCCCACGAGAATCGACATGTGCGACGACGACAAGGAGGAGCAACGCGCGTGCCACCGCGTAACAAACATTAGATGCACGAGAGGAGCATGAGAGGGACTCGATAGCTCCGTCAGTCGGTGGCGGTGGTTGCTCGGTAGATCGAGGGCTGAAACGGCAGGCAGGGTAGTTTGAAAGGCGGGGGATGGCGGGTTCCGCGCGACGGTGGATGGATGGGCGAGTTGTGAGTTATCAGGGGCGGGCAGGCTCGTGCGGCTCTACTACTCTCCGCAAGGGATGTAGAGGCGACGGGAGGGGTTGCGCGACGGAAGCGTGGTAGTTCTGGCCTGGTGCTACCCGCATCTACAGGGGGTGGTGGGTTGGGGTGATCGATATGCCGTGCCGTCGCCAGTGCCACACACCACGCCGTGGCACGTACATTGCGCTTCAGCGACAGCGTAAGGAGAAGATAGTTTATGGGGGATATGCAATTGTTTCGGAGGAACACGGAGAACTCGTTCAAAGATATCGCGTGATGCTTTTACAGTGGAATATTTTGAACCGCGTGAGACATTTTCAAGTATTTATAAGCATAATCACTTTCGTTTAATTGCAAACTGAAAGAATCATAAGAGAAAAAAATGCTGCTGTTGTTTCAGAAGTGATGGAAAATATATCAGCATACTGGTGTCCTTGTATTAATTTAACGCCACTTCAAATGTGGTACCAGCAATAGAAAGGAGTTTTTTCAACAATGACAATAAAAGATGACGAACGTACCTTCTATTTTTCCTCTTAGGGCTTTTCCTCTCTCACATTAATATGTTTCTGAATTCATGGAGTGACCTGAAAAGTAAAAGAAAATAAAAATTATTAGTTTTAATTAATATATACATTAATATCGTTCTATATTACTGGAATAATTCTTATATTAATAACAAATTCAATTTGAACAGCGATCATTGCAGGAGCATACTGATTTGTACACTGCATTCACATTGATTCTTAAAAATAGAAAAGATGTTTAGATATTTTGATAAAAGTTTGTATGATTATCACCAAGATCCAATATGTTGCATTATCACGTGTAAAAATATTATAATTGCACATTCCACATTAATTTAGATACAATTTTTCTTTTATTACTACAATAAAACTTTGTATTGTATATAACATGTATTATGTATTGCGTATATAACATATTATATTCATATTTTGCGAAATAGTTAACGCTGCTTCTAATCCAAGTGCTATCTCTTAAAGTGCATTTATTTCGCATACTGTACGGTCGTTCGTGCAGGGTGAAAGTATTGGCGGGGTGAGCGAGAGAGGAGGTTTCGAAACGATCAGAAGTACGGGGCCACTCCGTCCATCCCCCGGCATCGATGCCACTCGGATCACTCTACTTCAACACATACAAATGCACGCACACACATGCACATATACGCACGCGAGAGCGAACATCTCGCTTCTATTCCACCGTTTTCTGGGTTAAGTAGAACATCCTGTGAGACGTCGCCGTCGATGTTGGCGTCGGTGTCGCGCGACGTATCCATACGTGCGCGATGGATATACGATTACATATATACACGGGGTGTCTAGAAATTCTTTGTTCAATAAAGAATTTATAATTGTTTTCAACTCTTTAGCAAGATTAGATAGAAAAAAGCATCCATTTTCTCCAGTTTTAACTTTTTCATCAATTTTGTATCTAGATTTGTGTATAAATTATGTGTATTTTCTGATACATATGAGTATTTCAATTCTCTGGAAGTTAGAACTGCAATTAAATATTTCGTAAAGATAACGTCTACTTGAAATGAACACAAGCGTTCATGACATAATACAAAAAGAGCGATGAGAAATGGAAAAGACCGCGTACAATATAAATTGATTATTACATATGGTAATAATTGATAATTTTCCGAGAAAGAATTGATCGAATTTTTCACAATGTGCATAAATTTACATTTCGACATAACGTATGTTGCAATCGATATATCGAGGCTACTTTAGAAAGACGATTTTTATCGTACTATTGTGATTTTTTTGCATATTTATCGCTTACATACTTGATTCAATGTAATACATTTTGTACTTTTATCTGAGTGCAGAAAAGCGCATTCAATATAACCTAATAAACATCTAACTGTACTAAACGCTATACCTCAATTAATATGTTGGGAACATCGATACCAGTTCTTGCTCGTTGCGGCATTCCTCTATGCTCAATTCCTTGTCGTAGATGAAAATTCTTGGAAACAGTTTGAAACTACACACAAACACACACGTACACACATACACACACACCCACCCGACGCGATGCACTATTTATTCGGTAACATAACCTGTCCGATCAAAACGAGCTTACGAGATAAGAAACTTGATCAATTGCAATTGCACATATTAATTAACACTTCACAATTAAAACTTCGCATTTTCCGCACTTCCGATAACGCGACGTTTCGTATCATGATGCATTTTTCACAGATCGCGAAAACTCCCGCGCAAGACAATCTACCGGCTTCGAGAAGTATCAAATCGTAACGGTAACGGTAACGAAACAGACGAACGATAACGAAACTACCGCGCGGCGGCTTCGCCCTTCCAAACTTTATGATTAAAACAAGATTACGTTGGAAATGCACAGAAATGCTGAGTAATACTACGCGTTCGCGTAAAACTGTTCGGAATTTTTGATAATATCATATACGAATTTTTTGCAAGCAAACTTAGAAGGGCTTCCGCACAAGATCTCCATCTTTGAAAAACTGAGGCAACGTGAATATGTTTACGAATGTAGTTGATAATGAATATAGCGGAAGAAACACGCGCGATTTTCTAATCAGTTCGAACGCTACTATAGAACATTACGAAACTAAAAATCTGACTAATTGCAATTGCGAATATTTATTCGCGTTAATAAACAAAACTGAGAGCTTTCGTACGAGACATTACTTTAGCTTCAAATAATCGCGAAAGTAATTACAAATTATAATTATAATGGCGAAGTTAGTGTGTGATTATCCGAATTAAATTCAAATTTTAATAAAAACTAGAATTTATTTTTTTGTAAAATACTTAATTAATTTATCAAGTAATTGATATTATCCTCAACTTTGTAACATAAATTATAACGTAAGAAAATGAATATAGATTTTATTTTTTTATTGTACACATAGACACAAAGAAGAAATATTTCAATGTTGTAACTAGATTTTAAATAATTTTATAAAAATTAACATTTTATTAAAAACTGTAGAATATTATCAACTTAATACACATACACAAATATTTACAGAAAATATTGATTTTTGTTAGTCCATTATTTTTTGTGTATGGTACTTTTTTAGAATAGTTATTTCGTCCAGAAAATTATATATGTATATAATTTGTATCACTACAATAAATCTTAGAATAACATTAGTCAGGTTGAATAATTGAATAAAAACAAAATATTTTATAATTTATGTATTTGTAGAAAGATTCATGGAATGAATACATTGTAGGTTTTAAAATCTATAGAAACAATCTACCATTCTTGGGTTTTTTAAATAATATTTTGGAAACGCAGTATTAAATATCATAGCAAGATGAATGTTTAAGGATTTTATAGTTTACAATGTTTCTGTTCATTTTAAAATAACAAACGGACTTTCTTGTAGAAAGATCTAGAATCAGCAAACATTCATTACATACGGGAAAACTAATTATATTGTTCATGATAATATATTATATATACTTCACTGCAATCAACGCTGCAAATTGTAATAAATTCCTGATTTTATCAATATTTAAAAAATTATTCGTTTCATAATTACAATAAAATTAAATATTTTTAGAATATTAATATTTTCAACGGATACAATAACAGATAACTATATAATATTCCAATCCAAAAATTAAATAAACTTCGTGATAAAAATTCTAGCTTAACGGATATTTCTCTTATAATTTATCTATTCATAAAGGTTCCGTCAGGTGCGAGTGTTTTCGGCTTCGAAACAGCCCGTTTGCATTTTGACGTTAACCCGATCATTTTTATACTTATTAATTCATTAAATCGAAGAGCTATCAGATCGCAATAGAATAGTAAAATGTTATATTTACAGTAGTGCACATCATGCTTAAATAAATATATATATATATATATAGCGATTATTATATGTATACAACAATCGCTCGGAGATGACATGTTTACGTTTCAAAATTATGAAACGCAAATAATGAATGATACTACATTGCATCATAGGTTTAAGTATTCAAAAAAAAGTTGAATGCAATATTTACTAAAATAGATTCAAATATCATATACATAGATAGATACACTGTGTCATATTTTCTTGAAATACCCATTAACCTGGAAACTGGAATTGAAAAGCACCACTAGGGAAACCATGCTGAAACTGGAACTGGAAATTTCCTCCCTCTTGGCAGAAAAAGTGAAACATTGCATTGGGATCCATATCTGAAAGAGACGCGTAAAATAATATTATATGTATTGTGTCGCAATAATAGTAAAAAGGCATAAAATATATCATGTCCTCGTTATTGGCAAATATAACAAAATCTAAGAATAAAATTCAACCTTGAAAACCACCTTCGTTATCATCTAGATCATGTCCGCGATCATAGCGAGATCGTTTCTTGGGGTCCGAAAGAATACCATAAGCTTCTCCGACTTCCTTAAACTTTTTTTCTTGTTCCCTCTTTTCTCCCTCGCTTGCATTAGCATGACGATCTATAAAAAAATGTATATATAATAACGTAAACGCACAATTATTCAATTATTCAATAATTGTTTTCATTTCGTTACCTGGATGGTGATCCAAAGCCCGTTTTCTATATGCCTTTTTAATATCCTCGGTTGAAGCATTTTTATCGATTCCCAAAATCTTGTAATAATCTTTTCTTTTGGATTTTCTCAATAACAATTTTGCTTTTGCGAGTAACCGTTTAGTCTCTATAAATATTATAAAATATATAGAGAGCGATAAACACTTGTGTGCGAGCACATCTTAAAGCTAATGCTATAGAGTTAGATTCGTACCACGATCATTCTTATCCATTTTACATGCTTTTTCAAGATCTCGAACTGCTTCTTCATACTCTTCCAGTTTCATATAAATGGTTGCTCTTTTAAGAAGAGCTTTCAAATAATTTTCGTTAAGTTTTAAAGCTTCAGTGCATTCCGCTACAGCTTCATTCAACTTTTCTAACTAGAACGAAAATAAAACATGTCAAATATAGATTAGTTTTTGATGCATACTGTTTGAATAATATCGCAGCTTTCAGCGTATACATATGCACAACATATATAAATATACTATATGTAGAAATAATATTTATACAAATACATCAAGTTCAAAAATAATTTTAATCAGAAATATGTATAAATAATGCAATACCTTAAATGCTACTGTTGCCTTATTAAAATGCAATTTAGCATTAGTCATGATATTATGCGGATCTATAGTTAAAGCTTCATTGTAAAGTTTATATGCTTCCTGATATTGTTCCCTCTTAAATGCTGCATTGCCTTCTTCTTTCTTCTTTTTCAAGCATTTTGCTCTCTATGATAAAAGAAAAATGCACATAATATTAGCATGTCATATTGTCTAATATGCATTAGGAAAAATCTTGATTACGTCTCTTATACCTACTTTGTATATTTCTAGTGCTTTAGCATGATCAGGTGCAAGTCGCAATACTTGTTGGAAATGTGCGAAGGCTCTATCAACGTCGTCTTGGAAATATAAGCACATTCCACGGATATATATTGCGTCAGCATTCTGCTTATCAATGTGTAAGGCATCACTAAGTGAAACAAAATATAGATTTGTGAATAATTGTTACATAATTTATGTTTCCGATCCAAGAAAGTAACATACTTTGCAATATCCTGGGCTTCTTGATACCTTCCTAAAAGAGCTAGACACTCTGCTTTAATTAGTTTAAAACGTGTGCCAGATGTACTTATATCACAACAACGATCCATACAATATACAACCTATAACAAACAAAATATAGTATTGTACAATCATAATAAAAATATATTCTTGCAACTGATCTTACTTTGCGATAATCCTTGGCATCATAGGCAGCATCAGCATCGTTAAGGAACTTTTGTACATATGCCAAGTCTTTTTGTTCCGCGGCTATCAATTCAGAACTGGGATCAAATTCCAAAAGTTTTTTTAATGTAGTCTCAGCTTCTACGATGTCACCCAAAATCAAGCAACATTTGATCACCCTTATGTATGACTGAAAATAAGCATACATAAAAAATTAGTTTATTATTTTATTGTGAATATATATATTAAATTACTAATAGAAAATAATCAACGTACTTTAGGAAGCTTTGAATCTAATTCAATACACTTTTTAGCATCAGTCAATGCATCTCGATATTGTCCAAGCATCATGTAACATGCTGCTCTATTGCCATAGTAACGAGATGTATCAGGACATAATGCTGAAATATTTTGGATTTATAGTTAATTACAAAAATAATAGCTGTAAAATTCTGAAATTAACTCAATTATTATTGCCATTAAAATGTTTTTTTACTAACTAACTAAAACATACATTTGCATAACACACTTATGAAAGATTGCAGAATATTTACCAATAGCTTCACTGTAACCAGTTAATGCTTTTTTATACTGCTTCTGTGAATAATATTGATTAGCAGTTTCCTTTTTTGATTCTGCTGATCTGTAAATACAAGTAGAAAATATATTAGTTATAGTAATAAGCTAATAAGCTACAAAAAATTATTTCAAAAACAGGTATTATAATCTAAGGCATGGATCGGCAAATTTTGAAGACATATGAGCCACTTAAAAAAAAAGAGAGAGATCTTTCAAGATCGACCAAAGCACTGGTACATGTTCTAAAAATGTTTCACGAACAAAAAAGGTCATCTTTTCAAGATGTTAGCGACTGTAAAGTGTTTAAATATCGATCGGTTGATCGCGATCCAACCATTTGGCAATCCCTGATTTAAGGTATCCAACCAACATTATAAATATATTTGCATTCTTGTTTATTATTCTGACATCATGTAATACTGTATTCACAGAATGAACACAAAGGAATTAAGAAGAATAAAGTGTAGTAATATGCTAATTTTACTAAAATAATTATATATTTATAGGAAATGCGTATGCGTACGCATATTTATAGAAAATGCGTATCTTGTGCAAGAGGATGCTCGTAACGAAATTTTCTATTTTGTCCATATTCATATATATTGCACGTAAGCGAAGTACGTAGAAGCATTAATAGGCCATGACAAAATTATTGAGTGACTTACTTTTGGATACTCTCTGTTGTGTCCGTAATATCCGTCGTGGAATTCGGAGTAATATTGGTCAGATCAGGCGACGCCATGGCCGTGTTCCTTCTTAGACAGGATGAATATAGACGATGTTGCGTTGCTGAAAGGTCATGCACAGTGAGAACGCACACGGCCTTTTGCGTTTTCCGTTAACGATAAGAAGAACAATAAACAATGCACAATTATATACCGCTATATACAACGTACGATACAATATCGGTTAGCAAAGATGAACAAATGTGCTCTCTCTTTCTCACCAATCTGTCACCTCGTGGCAGTGCTGCCAATATTTAATAAAAAAAATACTGTGTTTGTACTGAACCTTTAACTATAGAAATCAAAGATTCACTTCCTTTGTCATTCGATATCCAATAGAAAAACATACTTTCTAGAAATTTTATCTAATGCTAAATTAATTCTTAAAAAACCAACTTTTTTTATTAAACTGGATACTGCAGGTTAGATAATCTTTTATGAGAAATATTTACACAAATATTGTATATATTATCCAAAATAAAAGAAATTAATTATGATACCTAGAGATATCGATAATCGAGATCGAGATCTGATGTATCGATTGGAAGAACGACAGGTGTGACGTCATGCGTCGGTCTCCCCGCGATGCATATCGGGAAACACGGACCTGCCATCTTGAATGGCATGGCTCGACTACACAGTGCGTGTGTAAAGAAGATATGCAAGTTATAACGCGTACGGCACGCTGGCATTTTACTGCATTGGGACTCGCATGAGATTTAACGGCGACCGTGACGCGAGAGGACTTGTTTTGCCCCGCAATGGAGGCGGTAAAGGCGTTCAACGCGGAGGTAAGTGACCACCCCGGAGTCCCATCGCTTATACGCGCACGTCTTAGAGGTCATCGTCGTAGGGGCAGCTCTCTCTCTCTTTCCCTCCTCTTCTCCTTCTTTCTCTTTCTCTTTGCGCTTTGGTTTCAGCCCGATTCATTTTATCTCATTTTACCCTGATCCCGCGTGTAGTGATCCGTTATTAAAAGAAATTGCGTTATTCGGTAACTTTCCGCTCTTGTTTGGTCCCTCGGCGCTTTCCTTCGCTTAAGAGATGCAGCGCGCCCAGAGTAGCCTAGAGATCGCGATTACAGCGATACAACCTATGTTATGCTTTTCGCAGCTTTGTGTAGCTTGTTTTCACAAGGCATTAGCGAATAAATTGTTGAGCAAGCCTAGCTATATTTTTTTCGTTACGTGGTAATAAGTATGAGCAATGTTTTGCATGTGGTCCGTACATGTGATTTGTACATGTGGTTTAAATTATAATATATTTACTATACTACGAATACACTGATATTATTTCTTATTGGCATATATATTATAATTAGAATTGCAAAAAAGATCGTTATGTAGATAATAGTAATTAATTCTGGCATATATTTTTTCTTAAGAGAATCATGATTTGATTACAGCTTTCTGCTCTCTATGATGTTAAACCACCCATTTCAAAAGCTAAAATGAATTCGCTTACACGGGGTGCCATCAAAGCAATAAAATTCTATAAACATGTTGTACAAAGTGTGGAGAAATTTATACAAAAAGTAAGTGCATTTAAATAATTTTGTTAAACAATGTTAATATGCTTGTATATATATTTTCTAACTTTATTCTGTTTTAGTGTAAACCTGAATACAAAGTACCAGGATTGTATGTAATAGATTCAATTGTCCGACAATCTCGACATCAGTTTGGGATGGAAAAAGATGTGTTTGCACCACGATTTGCAAAAAATATGCAAACTACCTTTCTTAATCTTTTAAAGTGCCCACAGGAAGATAAGAGCAAAGTTATACGTGTATTGAATCTTTGGCAAAAAAATGCTGTTTTTCCACCAGAAGTTATTCAACCACTTTTTGATCTGGCGGATCCAAATCATCCGATACATAAGGAGCAACCAGTAAATAGCAATGGTAAATATAACATGGAAAAAGTATATCTGAATGAAAAATATTTCTGATACTATTAAATACAACATTGTTGAAAAAAATCTGTATTTTTCTAAATACTTTACTGTTACCAGGTACATTGAATGCATCATCTGGAAATAATTTAAGTAATGTGAATGCAGTCACTAAAACTCCACCATCTGCAATTAAAAATGCTGTAAAGGATTCAAAGCTATTTCCATCTGGCAAGACAATTGATCCAGCATGGCTCGCACAAACAAAAATGGAAGCGGCAAATATAGTCAATGCAAATAAACTTTTGGTAATATTATCGCTTATATTTACATTATGTGCGTATTGTATCTAGATTTATTAAATTTTATTAATTTTTACTCCTCTTTTGACAGAGTCAATCCAACTCCGGTCAAGTAGATCCTACTTTTCTTGATCAGTTACAACATTTACAACAATTACTTTTGAAAAAGCAGGAAGCTACGAACGAACCAAAAAGTTCTGTCAAGTTTGATAAAAAATTATTAGACTTTGATTATGGAGAAGAAGAGGATGACGATGTCGTTGTTACTAATTCTCCGAATACAACCGCTTCGGCGAATACTCAACACAATGCGGTCTCGACAAACAGCAGTCTGGAAAGTCTGGGACTGTTGCTCACGAATCCAGAGGTATTTGCTGAATGCTTACCGAATATCAGATGTAAATAGCAATGTCAAGGTCTTAAGATTACCATTGTATATATGATGTTATTTTAAGGTTCTGAGACAACTGCAAACTTTGCAACAAACTATGCAAAGCAACGCGTCCTCTTCGCAACACGAAATGGAAGAAAAAATGCGCAAGTTGCAGCAAATGAAGCAGCAGGAAGAAGAATTTGACAAGCATTTAGCACAAACTGTTCCTGTATGTTGCTTAATTAATTCTTCTTTTTGTTATACTTGTACATTGCGAATGATTTAATGATCATTTTTTTCTTTCTATTTTAGAATCTTCCATTTGCGTCTGAGTGCGAATTAAAGCCTTCTGATATTTTAAAACCAAATACCCAGAGTTATGCGTCAGGTATGAATAGCAATGTGATACAAGATATGAGCCAGCCACCACCTGGCTATCCACCAGTTCTGCCATATGCGCCGCAATCCTTATCGAGCATTAGACAAATCAATCAATCGGCACATCAAAATCAAAAAAGTCCATTGCTTGACGAACGTCAAGATACACAAGATTACTCCGGGTAAATATACTATAATTAATAGATTCTAATTCAATTAATAGTTTTATTTCTTTTTTTAACAAGTTAATTTTGCAGTAATGGTGCCAGACGTGATAGTAGTAGTGTGGAAATTGTAAATTGCGAAAATACAAGTTCGCAAAGTAGATCGCCAGAACGGTATCGACATCACAGTCGATCCCGATCTCCACGACATAGAGATAGGGATAGAGATCGAGATAGAGATAGGAAATCTCGATCTAGAAGTAGATCGAGGAGAAGAAGGTAATTATTTTGACTAATGTTAGTATTAAATTAAATTAATTGCCTTTATAGTGTGTGGAAAGGCACTATATGTAGAAAAACCTTGTGATTATTTATATTTTTCTCGTGACAACGGATTGTTCATTTTCTATTAATTTCATTATGTTTTTCTTTTTACAGGTCTCGTTCAAGAGACAGAGGCCGTGACAGGAAACGCGACGATAGTCGGGAAAAGATGACGGAAGAAGAACGGGAAAAAGAAAGGGAGCGACGCAAACGTGGTTTGCCACCGATAGTTAGGGATAAATTAAGTGGTACGTGTTCTAAAATTAAAAGAATTCGTTGACATCAATCAAGTAAAAATGGTAAAAATTAAAGTGCACGCCTTTACAGTTTGCAGTACAACACTTTGGGTAGGACATTTATCAAAACTTGTGCACCAAGAAGAATTGTCGGATACATTCGGAGAACTTGGTGATATCGTTAGTATTGACTTAATCTCGCCGAGAGGTTGTGCTTTTATATGTATGAACAGAAGACAGGATGCATATCGAGCGCTTACAAAATTGAAAAATCACAAGATGCAAGGCAAAGCTATCACGGTAAGCGATTGTTTATGATATAATTCTCGAGTAATCGCAATTATTTTGTATATGCGAATCTTTATTTTAATTACAGTTGGCATGGGCGCCTGGTAAAGGTGTAAAAGGCAAAGAATGGAAAGACTACTGGGAAGTAGAGCTTGGAGTGAGTTACATCCCTTGGAATAAACTAAGCAATATTACCGATCAAGAATTAGAGTTGTTAGAAGAAGGCGGAATGATAGATGAAGATACATTACCTCCCCATTTAAAAGGTATATTTCTTCTATTTTGACATTTAATATAAAAGATGGGTGATTCTCAATTTGAAGAATAATCGGATAAATTGTAAATCTAACGTTAAAAATGTAGGCTCACAATTTATGAAATTGGTACTTAATTTTTTGCAATCAACTTTTCGATGAATAAATAAAATTTTGAAAAATTCTCCAAAAGGCAAGTTTCAATTTAGTTGCATTCACAATTCAAAGTGAAAAGTAACTTGAACCAACTTGCGAGATTAAAATCGGAGTTTTTGAGCCAAATTGAAATTTTGAATTCAGGTTGGTCAAGCAAACTCTGGACAATTTTATTTTCATGAGAATATTAATTATGAAGTTTGGTATTCTAAAGTAATTGCCAATATTTTTTAAAAATTGAGATACATCTATACCGTATTATGTTACACAATATTATCATTATTTCATCACACTAATACATGTTTTTATTGTATTGCAGGAAAATTAAAACATACTAGTACGAATGCGGATATACTACAGCAACAGCTGCAATTGCAACAGCAAGCACTGGTCGCCGCTGCAAACGCCGGTGCTCCCATTCCTACCTTAACTGATGGTATTGTGAACGTTATACAATCGTCGGCTGGTTCGCAACAACAACAGCAACAGCAACAATTAGTCGACACCAGTCAACCGCCACCGATCAGACCGCCAACATCGGCTGCGTTATTGCCGCCTCCGAATACGCAGTTGCAGATGATGCCGCCGGCGTTTACGATGCCACGTGAGTTTATCATTGCGATATATCATTGCGAGACAAATAAATCTTTGAGGTATTTTAACTTATGATACATGATAATGGAAATATTGACGATTGAAATAGAAGATATCCAGAAACTCGCGAATTAAAATACTACAGTGAGAAATTTAAGAAGAAATTAAGTAATAAAAGTGTGACTTTTTATTGCAGATGATAATTTTTGTGACATAAGAACTAAAAGCTAACTAATTATAGATTACATTTAGGTGGTTGCCTGTTTATGAGTTATGTATATAACAGATTGTATATTTTATACAATATTTTTCAATCTTTATTAGGACACAAATGCAAAGTAAAAGGGCAATAATTATCATGGTTTTTTTTAGACAATATTTCTTAAATATTACGAATTTTATGCAGGAATGATTAGCCACATGAGCCTACAGATACCGCATGGATTAATGCCGAACGTCCCGATTGGAGTTCCGCCGCCTAATATGCAGAGTCTGTTAGGACCTCCTGGAATGATGCAGACTATGTTGACATCTCCGGTTAACCCACCATTCGGAGCAGGTGTTGGCGTAGGTCTACTGACACAGATTCCACTGCCCGCACCAGCAGCGCCTTCAGATAAACCAAACTCCACTGGTACGCACAGTTTCTTAATATGATATTAGAATAGTGATAGAATAGACGATCTCAAGATACTTCTTGGGATATATATTCTCTCTCTTCTACAATTTTGTATGTTTTCGAATTATCAAATTGTATTGTAATAATAACACAATTTTATAAATTATTACTTTATGTATATGAACGATGTAACAACGGAAAAGGGCTACGAGAATCAGAAACGCAGATGTCAAAACGCAAAAAAATGTTACAAGATACATATACAGTAAATTATAAAAATATTTTTGCCCAATTTTAGGCTTTCTTCAAACTGACAAAAGAAGAAAAAGATTGAGATAATATTAAAAGTATTAAAACTTTTTTCTTGAAAAACTATACATTATACTTTTATTTATTTATTACGGATTTATGTAGAAAAAATATGTTATACTTATTATATTCTTGTGTAAATTTTGGCTCATATTTTTTTTTGTATTTTTTGTCAACTGCTAACTTTGACAATAAAACAATTAATAATAGAAATTTTTTTATTTTTCTTCCATTTTTGTTGAATTCTAAAGAAAGAAAATGCTTTTAAGATTAAACAGAAATTCGAGGATCAAAAGTTATCCTGCTTGATCATCAATGTCGTGTTTAATTGTAATTAATAATGATAATTTAATAAATGGTATATGTATAATTGAAAATGTTTGGCAGTCAAACAATGTTTCCAAACATTGTAGGTATGCCGCACAACGTTCCACCGATTGGAGTACCACCGCCCACGACAGAGACGAGTATGCCGAACTTGCCGATGCTGCGGCAGCCGTACGGGGTTGGTCCGGCGCCGCCGATGCAGATGCAACTACCTCAGCAGCAGCACCACGCGGATGACATGGATGTGGAGATGGAGGACGCGATGCCGCAGAGCCTAACCAGCAGCGTATCCAAGGACAAGCAGCCGAATCTCAGCGACCAATTGATCGCAGCGATGAACATGAGCGGCGCTGTGAGCGACAATCGGCTGGAGAACGATCAGGCTCGCGAGTACAAGGAACGAGATCGCGATCGGGAGAACAGGGAGAGGAGAGACCGCAGTGATCGCGATCGCGGCGATCGCATGGACATAAACGAGTGCAGGATGGATCGCGGCCGAGAAAGAGGAAGGGGACGGGAACGCGGCCGAGATAGACGGAGGGATAACCGCGAGGGTCGCGACAGAGACAGAGACGACAGACGCGACAGGGAGAATCGGGAAGCCCGTGAGAGCAGAGAGAGCAGCGTGAGACACTCGGAGGGACCAGGTGCGCAGAATCAAAACGTCCAGGAAGGCGAAGGTATGACGAAGAAGGAGGGGCCCAAGCCCAGCCTAGCCGATCGACTGCGACAACTGGCGGACGGCACGTTGCCGCTGGACGATCGAATGGTGGACAGAAATATACGCGGTAATCGCGCCGAGCGCACCACCGAGCGGAATGACAGGACCTTCGAGGAAAGCCCCGGCGCGGTTGGACGGCGACCACCAAGCGACATGCCGATCTCTCTGATGGACTTGCCGAAATTTGCCGGAGTTCTGCCACCGGATCGGACGGACTTTCCGCGAGGGCCGGATTTCCGGGGCGGACCGCAAGACGTGCGAGAGTTCCCGCAACGTGGATTGACCGAGCGACCGAACTTTCCGCCGCGCGGCGGTCCGAGAAATTCGCAGATGGACGATTTCCTGGATCCAAGGATGCAACCCGGTATCTTCCCGGAGGATTACGAGGGCAGATTAGGCCACAACGGACCGCGGCCCGACGACTTTCCGCCGAACAGATTGGGTCCTGCTCGGGAGGAGTTTGAACGACCGGAAGTGCGTGCTCGTAGGCCACCCGTGGACGAGTATGAGCGCGATCGCTTCGAGTACGAGATGAGACGCGACGGATTTGATCCACGAATGCAGGACGGCTTCGATCCAAGGGGTCACAATGAGCGCTCCGACTTCGATCCCCGCAGAAGGGAATTTTTCGGTGGTCCCATGGAGCCTGTGTTCGGAATGCCGCCGTTAATGGGTCCAAAAGGACCAAGAGGACCGGTCGGCCCTGACGCTTTTGGACCGCGCGGATCTAGAGGACCTGGTAAGATATCATTTTTTCCATCATCTCTTGACTGTTTTATGCGTGTTTTTTTTTTCTTTTTGTTAACGAATGTTACAGTATTTTATACAGGATTTCATATTTCTCGCCACAATTTAAGATGACGTATGAAACCTTTTTTTTTTTGCAAAAATATCAAAATATCGACACTCTATTCCGAATAATCAATTTCAATATTAATATTTAATCTTATATAAACAATCAATCATTGCCATTTTGCAGACCCTTAACTTATTTTCTATTTTCATACAATCTTTCCCTTATATAACTTAATATTTTAGAAAGTAGAAAGAATTTTAAATAGAGAATTTCTAATTTAAAATGTTGATTGCATTGTACAACACTTGCGTTATTATATTTGAAGCATGCATTATGACAATCATATTTAATTCATTTTTATAGAATGTCTTAAAATTTATGAAGCAAAATATTACAGTAGAAAATTTTCACAAAATTAAATAAGGATTTTTGCAATTTTTTAATTTTTAAATAATAATTTTTGAAATACAAGAATTTAAAACTTTACAGGCTATATTCCGATAACTAAATGTAATCCGTGAGACAGTATGACATATTATTGATTGCATATTTTACTAACGTTAACTAAAAATTATATCATCTGATTTATTCTAATTTCCAATAGATATTTTCATAGATTATATATATTCTGTGCGATTGGAGTGTGTAAACCGATAACAACATAACAATTCCAGAATTGAATAAAAAAAAAGACTCAAAGTTTATGATGAGATTTTTTTGCTGTTAATGTTCTACGCAATATTCAACACATCCAGTAAGATAACGGTGGAATATCTGAAAAGCATTTTGGAGATTTTCTTATCTCTTATCACTCAATATCTTTTGCAATTCGTTGGCTACATCTCTTCAAATATTCTCAACATCTTTACGTTATCTCTTAGATACAATTTTAATTTTGAGAAACAAAAATTAGTCAAAAGCTGATTATCTTTTGTTCCTCAAAATTAAATTGTATCTGAAAGGAGAGCCATTTAAAAATGTTGAAGATTCCAAAAGGTCCGTCTTGAAGAAGATTTGTAAAGCGCTTTTCAGGTACTTAATCGTCTGACCGAATATGTTGAATGTCACATAAAGATTGTGTGGAAACATTAAGAGCAACAAAAGCTTATTATAAATTTTCAATGTTTTTTTTTTTTTATTTCTCCAGAACTTTTAGTCTTACTGTGACGAAAGTGAAGAAAAATCTATTTTATTAATACAGTGATGTGAATGTGATTGCGTCCGTGCTTCGCGCAAGTGTCACCTTTGCCGCGTCTTTTCCAGGTCCTTTGATGTTTCATCCGCGAGGTATGGGTCCGAGGGGTATGAGACCCGGAATGAGGCCACCATTCGCTCCTCGAGGTCCACCGTTCGATCCCAGAGAAGCGGATTCGTTCTTCCGGCCGACGTTCGACGATATGCGTGGTCGTCCCGGACCGCATATCCGACCGCCATTCGGTCCGATGGGTCCGCCGGCCATGCACGGACCGGATGGACCATGGAGGAATCAGGAGGGCGGCGGTCCGCCGCCCGCATCGTGGCCCGGACAGGAACCCGACGGACACGGACAACGAGAGAATCATCTGTCGAGAGACAAGCAAAAGGTAACGAAGCATCAGGACTATAAAAACATATCCGAGCGGGAGAACCGCAATCGGAACCGCAAGTCGAGGTGGGGAAACGTTAGCCCACCCTTGACAGACGACGTGGACGAGATACTGCCAGCGGAGGAGACCGAGAACAAGACCGGAATATCGGAGAGCGGGGAGCAAGAGCCAAAAGATAGTTTTGACGCCTCGTCTTCGGCCGTCGATCAGCAAAGTTTCTTGATGCCGATGGAGCAAAACGAGTCGGCGGCCCAGGAGCAAGACGCGATGCAGGATGATGGAGAAAGCGAGTTGACGAACGTACCGAATAGCGAAAGTATCGGCGAGGTCTGCTACGAGGGTCAAGCCAATCCCTACGAAATTGACGCGGACCATTTCTCCGGCGATGATTTAGCGCTAAAGCAGCGAGTCGAAGAGCAACCGTGTGAATATGAGGCACTCATTCCAGCTGAGGATTCAGCGCAGCACAGTGCGGTACAGTCGATCGAACAAACAGAACACGCGAGTGAAAAAAACTATAGTGAGCAATTAGTGGAACAGCAAGTGGATTCATTATAAGCCGAAGAGGAAAGAGAAACAAAAGGGAAAAAAAAAAAGATCGGTATTGGGGAAAATTACCAAAGTAAAGCTAGAGAATCTTCAGGCAGATTCGTGTAAAATATCGTTTAAATCGATACGATGTACATAGAGTCATGCTGCAGAGAAAAAGAGAGCGAAAACGTATGCGTGCGCATGAGAGAGAGAG